CGTTGATGAAAAAGGGATACAGAGAGAGGATTTCGATAATGTTCTTTTACACGAGAATAGAACGATTAGATAGGATATGTCGGGGTTTTAATGATAGGAGACAAAAAATGTATAAGTAAATGAAAAAAAAAATATATATATCAATTCTTTTATTCATTCAATTATCGTAGATACTAGAATTGTTACCAATTGACCAATCACAAGCTAATTAGAAGATTAAGAAATATAAAAAGTAATTTGAATGATATACAAAGATTTTTATAGATATGTCACTATTTTATCGTTAGGAAAGATGCCTGTCTTTGTTCGTAGACTGTCTTAAAAACAATATCATTTCTAATTAATAGATTTAATTATACCAGTAGCTATACCAAGTGCAAGTTGATGTCATCTTACCGATTCTTTTTCTTTCCTTTTTTTAACGAATTAATTTTCTAATGGGTGGCGTTATTTTTTGTTTTGTTTTGCTTTTTTTTTATTTTTAAAGAGAAGCTTCAATTGTTTCTTCAATTCTCTTTTTATTCCTCCTCGAATGATTTTGGTTTAATCACACGTGGCATGTCTTTTGGTATAATCGGGATAATAGGTACTTTTTCTTTTTTGTACTCTGTTTCGTTTTCCGCAAATTGGGAAATAGGTGTAATTGTCGGGATAACATTTCCGTATTCGTTCTTGAACCAGTTTATGCCGATGTTACCGCTGCAATGTTTTCCGTGACATTTCACTCCTCCTGTTATATGAGCTTTCGCAGGCGTTGGAATTAGAATAACAGTGCCGTCCGATGTTACGAACCATTCAACGCCAACTTGTTTTGATCCATTGCTATCATCGACCTGGTTATCGGCTGGTTTTGGCGTTACAATCGGGACAAGATTTCCATCCTGAGTTTTGAACCAGTTTACTTTAACGCCAAGAATTCCTTTGCATTTCGATCCCTCGCATTGACTTCCAACCTCAACACGACCACCGTAAATGGCTACGTTGGATTTTGGTATTGGGACAAGAGTTTCATCTCCTGCTACGAACCAGTCGTCATCTGCTCCACCTTTGATGTGATTCTTGGACTCCACTTCGGGTCTGGGAACACCGACGAGACTTCCGTCTTCCCCTTTGAACCAGTCAACACCGACTTTTACGTTTCCACTGCATTTTGTTCCATGGCATTCAGCCCCAACTTCAACGTGACTTTTAGCTTCTTCAGGTTTATTAATTTCTTCCGTTAGCGAGAACCAGTTGATACCAATACCGCAGTGCTTCTTTCGGCATCCAATTTTGATCTTGGCCGGTTCCTCAACTGGTATGAGGGTTCCCTCATCGTCCATGTACCAATTTCTGCCAATATGGATGGAACCTTCGCATTTCTTTCCATGGCACTTAATTGATATCTTAGATAAATCAGCTTCAACGTTATCCTTAAAAATAATTCATATTTGATTTAGTTTTTAAATGGAAGAAAAGAAAACGAAAAAAAAGAAAAAAAAAAAAGAAAAAAGATAAAGAATTTCTATCGAATAATAATTCCTTTTGATATTTGACGTTTGTTCTTACTTGTTTAACGTCTTCTATGTTTATAGGACCCGCAATGGCTACCGCCGCAAGGGCAAATAAAACGACGAATGTCTTCATGTTTCAAATCCTATTACGATGAAAAAATCAATAATATATATTTATACGTAATAGAATTGTACAAATTAAATTTTTTAATGAATATCTTAGAATATTATAATATGATATAGTCATATATATATGACGATGTATGATACTACTTACCAGTACTCCTCTAGTACCGTAGAGTTTGATTTGTAATGTCATTTGTTCGTTGACGGTGCCTTATATACTAATGAAAAAATGAAGGGATAACGTGTACATAATTATCGGGGAATCACATGCTCGAATGACTTCCTAAAAAACATATTCGATTCGTTGATTTTGATAATAATGCGGCCTCTTTCACGTGGACTTCTCTCTCTCCCCCTATCCTCCTCCGCGTATCTTTAAGTGTCCAACATTCATTAATCCTAATCTTTATCAGTTCTATTCGTTTTCAATAATCGTGTAAAAATATCACTTTTATATATGTATTATATACGTTTTATATACGTATATATATATATATATATATATATATATATATATATATATATCTCAAGATGATGTTTGCACAAGTGAGATTAAATCAAGGAGCATTTAATTTCATTCTTTTTGATGATATTTTTTTTTTATTTTTATACAAATATATTTCTAATTTCCTTTTAATATATTCTCTATTTTGCTTATAATATTTTTCTGTTATTTTCTTCTATTATTTATCTATTTATTATTATGCATTATCATCCTGTTATTGTATTATTTATTATTATCATCCTATTTCTCTCATGGTAGACAAAGACTATTTCAAGTAGAGTATATACTATTTTCCAATACGGATAACAACGATTATACCAAACCATTATTGTACTTACTTTACAATCGAGAAAGTTATTTAATTATATTCACTAAGCCCTTTGCCGATATTAGTTATTGATTTTAATCGAAACTCGTTCGTTCGTTCGAAATCCATTTCATTTGTTTTTTTCTTTCCTTTTTCTTTTTTTGTTTCTTTTTTTTTTTCACGAGACACATAACTTTACTATTTCGAAATGATCGAGAAAAAGAAAAATGGCGTAAGGAAAAGAAAATATATATTTAGATCTTTCGATATCATTCGTTTTACGTATCCGATATAATATCTTTGTTTATTTGATGTACTCAAAAATTACGGTTCTTTTTTGTTTCCTTTTTTCTTCTCCTCCAATAGATTGCCAAATAAGCAGATTAAATTTGTTCGATATCTAGTATATGAATTTATTTTAACGGAAATCTCGAGTTTACATGGAAGACGGATCGATTTCTTATTGATCGTAATACATTATTTGCTTTATTATTTTTTCATTAAAAAAATGACATAACGAAATTTCGTAATTTTTTATTTTTTATCTTTATGCTCGATCAATCCGATAGATCGATCGATAGATCCGATAGATCGACAATAATTCTTAAAAACGGTCGACATTTGTAATTTATGTTCATTTGAACGTTTTTCATGTGTATCATGTTATGTAAACTTATGTTTTTTTTCCCCTTAACTATTTTTTGACAATTACGAATCGAGTTATCTAATTGAAATTAACGAGCAGGAAGAAGATAGGAAATATTTTATCGTTCGATTTGAAGATGTAAACAATTCTAATGAGTACGGTCATTCCCCGAGTTTCATGAATTTGTATTATCGATTAAATTGAACAGCATATAGATCACATATGCTATCTATCGATCTTTATCTTTCTTCCATTTTTTTTTTGTACGATTCTATCGTCGTACTGTAATCGTGATTTCAAATACGTTCCTCTCTCCTTCCCCTATCTCGAGAATCTTAAAATTACGTATCTACGTAATTATGAATCTACGTATTTATGAATTTGTTATTTCTCTAGATTTATCTTTCTTATATATGACAAAGTTTTTTTCTCTCCTATTTTTCTCATAAAATTGAAGATAAAAAAAAAACAAATTGAGAATCGATTCGAATTCATTTATATATATGTATATATACACAATTGATTGATTAATTAATAATAAAAGAACTTCCTGTTCCCATTACAAAAATAAATCTATATTACGAACTAATATATAAAAAAAGAAAAAAAAAAAAAGAAAAAAATTATTTTCACTAGAATTTCCCTTTATCTCTCTTATTTTTATAATCGTCCAATAGATGTAACGTCTAACATAATTGTTCTAATTCTTCTGAGAGAATTAAAAAAAAAAGAAGAAAGACGTCACAAAAAAAAAGAAAAAAAAAAAAGAAAAGAAAAAGGAAAAAAGGAGAAAGAAGAAAATGTCTTTTCTATCTCTGTTTAAGAACTCAATGCGACGTCACCGTCTACCAGCGAATTCGGAGAACTCGTCGACGACATGGAAAGAGATGAATTGAACTTGGAAACGGAGGAGGACGAAGATGCGGTCGAAGATATTCTTTATATGCGTGGTGCATCGTTCACGATACATTTGGACCAACCGAACGAGAACTCGACGACAAATGGAACAAAAGTGAACGGACAATTCAATGGGACATCTGAAATCCCGGACTCCGGTCTTCCTACCGTTTCTCCTCAGGTATTATCGATTTGCGTTCAATCTTACAATATATTGACATGCGTCAAATAGAAAAAAAACAAAAAAAAAAAAAAAGAAAAAAGGGAATATTTTATTTTTAAGATATTCATATCGTCGTTATGATAAAAAATTGATCGCTCGAAGATCGAATCACGTATAAATGGGATATTATGAAAAATGTCGTGGTAAGGATTATGATGAAAAAAGAAAAGAGGGGGAGGGGAGGAAAAGCGCAAGAAATTCTACGTGAAATTTTTTGTTTGTTTTCTTTTTTTCTTCATCATTTATTTAGAAAACAAATCGTTTAAGAACGTCGTACAAAAAGTGATCTGCATCATTCGAGATTTTAAACGATATTTCATGCGTCTCCTTGACACGATTACAATTATATTTTTCTCGAGAATAAATGTATATCTTGTATCTGTATCCTTTAATCTCAGTCTCATTATAGAGAAATAATTGTGTATAATTAATTCAAACCCGAGCGTCATTAAAAGACGTCTTTAAACGAGAAAAGAGAAATATATATACACACATATATATATATATATATATAAATCAGTTTTCGATCACTTTCGTCGTAATAATTGCCTCATATATAACAAACTAAAGTAAAATTTATGGTTAACACGTGATGCGGATTCAACCCTCTTTTCCCTATTAGGGTAGATACACGTCCATCAGTCGTTATTTTCTTCTCTACGGCTATCCAATGGGAGACTACTCCTTATACAAAACCATTGCTCTTTTGCGAAAGCTATTCGTCTTGTCGTACCGAGTTAGAATTTTTTTTTTTCCTTTTCTTTTCTTTTTTTCTCTTTTCAATGTCGGTCATCGTTTCCCTCTCATGCGGCCGTCGATGTCTCTTCAGGAGAAAAATATTTCCTGTACAGCTCTTTCTCTCCCTCTCCCCCTCATTTTCTCTCTCTCTCTCTCTCTCTCTCTCTTTGTCTCTTTCCCTGTCCTCGTCCTCATCCTGTACAGCTCTTCACTCCTCGCCTTCAACCTTTTTACCTAGCTACCAGCACTCGCTTTACTCTCTCAATTTCCCAGGACAAGGGCTCTTCGATTATTCTCCAAGCAGGGAGACTTCGACGATAACACGTCGAATTTCTTTTCTTCAAAATCAGAATAGAATAGGCAAGAGAATTCGACTATTATATATATGTATACATATATATATATATATATATATATATATATATAATATCTACAAGTAATTCGAACAGAATAACTAGCCGAGAAAAATTGAATAATGCAAATTTGTTTCGAACGAATCATTATTATGATATTAAAATCGTATTACAATATATAAACAAAAATAAAGATTAGCGTTAAATAAGGAATACCGTTCTCAATCGAAAGATCTAAACATTTTTTTTTCTTTTCGAATGATCTCATTTTTCCTTGCCACCTATGTGCGTTCTTACTTTGAAGTTCAAAAAAAAGGAGAAAATAAAAAAAAAAAAAGGAAGAGAACCAAATCATATAGAAAATTTTCAGATAACTTTTTTTTCGACATGCTCGATCTAAGTACACCTAAAATATTCCTCCTTCCGCGTAAATTTTGTTCGAATAAAAGTGATTAGTCTTTTTTCTTCTTTTCTCTTTTTTCCTCCCTTTCGTTTCTGACGATAAAAATAATACTTAAAAATTTGAAAATAATTTATTATTAAACATATATCATTAAATATAAAAAATAAACTTTCATTACAGGTACCAAGCACGACGCAGAAGTCATCAACGAGCGAGCTAGGTGATAGTAGCACTATAACAAGTACCGAAGCAACCTGTACCTTAGATTGTGGACCTGGTAATTGTTTCATCGAGCCGTCCCTCGATGAAGATATTCCGGCGGTATTAGTTACCGAGAGAAATGGAAGCAACGAGGATGGATCAATGACTATGGATCTCGAGGGCAACAGCGTAGCTCTTAGACAGCAGAAGGAAGGCAACTCCTTCAGGCAGAGGTGTCAATGCCCTCTTGGTAGAGGCGGCGATCGATGTCAGCTTGGTAAACGAGACGTACTTTTTTCTTTCCTTTATAGGCTGGGACAAAAAAAACACCTATCCTAAAAGAGGATTGACCAAAAAAGTTCTCAGGTTATATTAGAAATCGATTGAACCTCTCTCTCGCTCGAGACGTTTTTCTAAGGGCTAATTTTTTCTTTCTTTCTCTTTCTTTTTTTCGTTCGGTCAAGGAGCATTCGTATTATAAAAACAATGACCCAAATTTGTAACTTTCCAATATGTGAATGGAAAAAAAAAGTGAAAACGGAAAAATTAGCCTTGCGTAAAAATAGCCAAGTTTTTTTATTAATACTTTCTGGATTTTTAATATCGCTTATGAACTCCTGTTTGATTTTTTTTTGTGATCCAAAAAATTATAAAGTAATCAATACATATGCATTTTCCTCTTTACTTTTTTTCTTGTTTTTTCTTTTTTTCTTCTGTTTTTTATTTTTTTTTTTTTGCAGTTCACATTTTTTTCTCTTTTTCCTCTTTAAGACACGGGATAAAAAAGAAAATGTTTTATCGTCATTTGCTTGAAATAACGTCGACGAAAAGGAGAGTTTAATATAAAGCTGTAATCTCGGTGAGACACGCGCGCAACTTTAGGAAAGAGTGAGTTAGAAAAAAGTAAAAGATCAACAGAAAGAGAGAGAGAGAGAGAGAGAGAGAGAGAGAGAGAGAGAGAGAGAGAGGAAGAAAGAAAAAGTAATGTGGCGTAAGGCAAGACTTTTGACGTTTGCATTCAACAGCTGCAATCTACAAGCTCGATGTGCACAAGTGCTTCCACATGTACAATTTTCATCGTCGCGCATGTAAAGAAAGAAAGAAAAAGAAAAAAAAAGAAATAAAGAGAGAGAGAGAGAGAGAGAAAGAGAGAGAGAGAGATTAAGTTCTTTCCTTTTCTTCCATTTTGTTATTTTCATTTTTAGGTTGAGAAAATCTTAATATTTTGTTGAAACTTAATATCTCTCCCGCAGTAAGATCTATAGAGATGCTCGTAAAGTATGTTTTATGTATACACTTGTAGCCTTTTTTCTTCCCTTTCTTTTCTCTCTCTCTCTCTCTCTTTTTTGTATTTCTTCTAGTTTTTTTCTCCTTTTTCTCTTTCTTTCCTTTTCTCTCAGAGAGCCACGTTCGTACTCACGACGACGTGCGCCGTTTTGAAATGAAAGACGTGGCTGTGGTGCGCATGCTGTGCAAACTTTTAGGAACGGCGACGTCTAAACGAGATACCGTTGCTCTATTTTATTACAAAAGACGTACACATTAATGGCCGAAAGCCTGTTTTCCTATTCGTTGAATAGTACCCTGGGTCTAATTTCTCTTCTCCGTAATTTCTTTTTATTTTTTTCTTCTCTCTCACTATCTTTCTTTCTCTCTTTCATTCTTTATTCTTCTTTTACTTCTTCTCCTTTAGTGAGATAAGAAATCATCGTTATTATGAGAATTAAATGGAAAAAGGGAGAGAACGAGAGAGAGAGAGAGAGAGAGAGAGAGAGAGAAGGAAAGAGCGATGTGTTTATTTTTAAGGTGCGAAAAATGTGTTACTCCCGTGTAAATTTGTTTAACTTTATAAATCATTTATAAATCATTTAGAAAGGATGATGTAAACAAAATTAACTAAGAAAGAAAAATAAGAATATTTCTAATTTGTAATTTACAATATAAAATTATATAATATATTGTTAGTATAATTTAAAGTTTTATATATATATATATATATATATATATATATATATATATTATTAACATATTATTACAAAGGAGGAATTGGAAATATTTTTGTTATATAATAATGATTATTGAATTCAAATAAAGATGAATGTATGAGACGCGTTTCAATGTCATTTGTTAAAGATTTGCTCAATGACGATTGATATTAGAACGTATGAACATATGTATGTAAATACGCGATAATAAATATCTCATGTTTTTATTTTCATTCTTATTTCAGAAGTCGAAGTGAGATCACCGAGATTTACGGGGTCAGGCTGGTTGGCATTTCCAGCGCTAAGGGCGGCTTACAAGCACGTACAATTAGAGTTAGAATTTCGACCGGAAGCATGGGACGGTGTACTGCTTCTTGCCGGCGAACGAGACGATCTTCAGGGTGATTTTATGGCCCTTATATTACATCATGGTTTTATCGAGTTCAGGTAATTAATCAATTAAATATATATATATATATATATATATATATATATATATATATATGATGTATTTTACAGTATCAAAAAACGAGGAAATAAATTCGACGTGGCATATCGTTCTTTTGTTATCTGGAAATAAACTTTTCAAAAGTCAGATTTATTTAATTTATTGAATGAAAATAAATTGATTAATTGATTAATATCGACATATAATAATATGACAAATAAAAGAAACTTTTCCTTTTTATTTTCTTCCTTATCACGTTTCTATATACAATACATTTATGCTTTTGGATCAATGCTTACGGTATATGTATGTACAATTGTATGCGAGAGAGTTTAGATATTTTGTCCGTATTTATAAAACAGATTTTGCACAATATATATATATATATATATATACAAATATATATATTTATGTATATATAAATAAATTTAATATAGATATATATATAGTATCTATATATGTATATGTTTATTTATTTATTTATTTATTATTGTAATACACATCCAGAGGAGCACGTCGAATCGAATGATGCAACACCCTTCAAGGCCCATTTTCTTTTGGTTCATGCATATATTCATTTGATGAGAAGATTCGCGTGTGCACTGGAAACACGCGATTCTCTCGCGGAAAAGCTATGCATAAGTTGGTATTAAAGATTCGTGAGCCTAGGCACGTCTCGTCGTGGTCCTCTTCTTCGTTCTTTCGCGTGCCTCTCAACGTCATATACGCATACACATACATATACGTTATTATATATATATATATATATATATATATATATATATATATATACACATAGATACGTTCTATGTGGAACGTATAAGGACGATTGCACGTATATATATATTTTTTTTTACTTGTATTAGTGTCAGTGTCAGTGTCTGTGTCTGTGTCTGTGTCTGTGTCTGTGTCTGTGTCTGTATCTATGTCTGTCTGTTCCTATATGCGTTTCTCTCTGTCGTGTCCGGAAATCTCAGAGAACGAGAACGACGTGCCACGGTTTGAAACGCGACCGTGGAATGAAACTTAAAGTTCAATTTAGGTGTCTTCTACGCGGTAGATAGATATGCCTTGGTACAATATATGCAATTTGCATATTCGTCGTCACAAATGATTTATATACGTTCGTAAACGATCTTTCCCTGTGACACTTTGTTTCCTTTCATTGCGAGATTCACGTATATAAATATAAATATATATATATATATATATATATATATATATATATATATATATTTTTTTTTTTTCGTTCTTTTTTGATTTTCTTTTTTTCGACACACAACACGCGAAAGAAAAAGAAAGGAACAAAATTTTTTTTCTCTTTCTTTCTCTCTCTCTCTCTCTATCTCCCATATTCTTTCATTTATCTCGTAGAATTATTTTTCTTTTTTTTTTTTTTACACTTTACGTTAATTTACACATCGAGATTTTCGTATAAATTAAAAGAAGAAAAAAAACGAAACATTTTTTAATCATTTATTCGGAAGCAATAAAAATCTTTCTATTCCTTTTTTCTTTTTTTGCAACGCATGTATATATATATATATATATATATTTTTTTTTTTTCCCCTCGTTTCTTTTTCCATTACTTTCAATATTCGAGTCATTTTGGTATATCGGTTTGCATCGGTATATATACAAATTCTCTCTGATCCTTGTAAAAATCGAGTATCAA